TGAACTATAGTGTGACTTTCTTTCCTGATCATTGTCACGAGGAAGACAATTGGCAGTGGTAGAGTAGAACATGGTCTCTATATCCTGGATTAGGCGAACCAGATGGCACATCATTCCATCAAGTTTCCAACCACCAAGGAAGACCTGTGGCTGTGGTATCAGCGTCTTGGGCACCCATCGTTTCTATGACTTATTTCCTTATGTTTTTACAAACAATAATGCCTCTAAGTTTCATTGCGAGTCTTGTCAACTTGGGAAACAACACAGAGCTTCTTTTACTCCAAGTTTTAATAAAAGTTTAGTATATTTTTCCTCAGTTCATTATGATCTTTGGGGTCCATCTCATGTTGTGTCTTTAAATGGTCATAGATGGTTTCTTACTTCTATCGATGATTTTTCTCGTACTGCTTGGGTGTATCTTATGAAAGACAAAAATGAGATCTTTTTTGTGTTTCGTAACTTCCATCAAATGATTTGTACTCAATTTGAGGCAGTTGTCAAAATATTACGTTCTGATAATGGGGGTGCGTATATTGGTTCCGGACTAACGTGCTATTTTTCCACCCATGGCATTATTCATCACACTTCTTGACCAACACCCCTCAACAAAATGAGGTTGCGGAATGTAAGAATCATCATTTTCTTGATATGGCTCGTTGCACGTTTTTTTCTATGCATGTGCCTCGGTCTTACTAGGGGAAGCAATTCTGACTGCTGCCTATCTCATCAACCATCTCCCAACCCAAGTGTCGCATAAAAAATCTCCTCTCTAGATTTTCTTAGGTTCTAAGTCTGCGTTCTCTATTGTCTTTGGATGTGTCTATATTGCCCAAAATCAGGCTCCTTGTGCTAAATTTGATCCCCGCTCTCTGAAGTGTGTCTTTTTGGGTTATTCTCCTACTTAAAAAGGTGATAAGTGTTACAATCCTCCATCTCGTAAGTGGTTTGTATCCATGGATGTCACATTCTTTGAGTCACAGTCCTATTTCTTGTCCTCCTCGGTGTCCAATCCTCCCTTCAGGGGGAGCCTTGGTGTGAAGAGATTCCTAGGTCTTTATCAATTCCTGGCTCATCACCAGTGGTTGAGAATATAGAAGGAGAACTAGCTACTAGTGGTGGAAATACAAAATCTAATGAATTGAATGAGGGAAAAGTCTATGTAGGGACAAAGATAGACAGAAAGTTACTTGGATACAAAAGATCACTTCTGATCCTCCATTGTTATCTTCTTTTTCTGATGAGAGTCCAGGTAACTTTGAAACTCTTATTCCTCCTGTGTGATCTTGATATTCCTATTACTCAACAAAAGGATGTGAGATCTTGTATTAAACATCATATTTCTAACTTTGTGTCCTACTCTAATTTGTCTCCTTCTTATAGAGCCTTTGTGTCCAAAGTTTTTTCTGTTAGTATACCCAATCATTTTCAGGATGCTCTTGCTACCCCTGAGTGGAAACATGTCATGACAGAAGAAATGAAAGCACTTCATAAGAATGGCACTTGGAAATTAACTGAGTTACCTAAGGGCAAAAGACTTGTGGGATGCAAATGGATGTATACTGTGAAGCACAAAGCGGATGGTTCAATTGAGCGTTACAAGGCTTAACTTGTGGCAAAGGGCTTTACTCAGATTTATAGAGTAGACTATCAAGAGACCTTTGCACCAGTGGCTAAGATGAATTCAGTCAGAGTACTTCTCTCTCTTGCAGCTAATTTGGATTGGCTACTCCATCAGTTTGATGTAAAAAATTCTTTCTTACATAGTGATCTAGAAGAAGAGGTATGTGGACATTCCTCCTGGCTTTGAGGACCATCAAACAAAGGGTAAAGTATGCAGGCTTCGGAAGTCATTATATGGTCTTAAACAGTCTCCAAGGGCTTGATTTGAGAGATTCACTCAGGCCATACTCAAATATGACTTCAAATAGATTTAAGTTGATCACATTTTATTTGTGAAACATTTCTCACATGGTAAGACTACAACTGTCATTGTTTATGTGGATGACATAGTGCTTGCAGGAGATGATAGTGAGGAAATATTCCGGTCGAAGAAATATTTGGCAAGCAAGTTTGAAATAAAAGACTTGGGGAATTTGAAGTATTTCCTAGGTATTGAGGTTGCCTGGTCCAAGGATGAAATTTTCATCTGGCAAAGGAAATATGTTCTTAACCTGTTGAAAGAAACCAGAATGCTTGGGAGTAAAGTTTGTGATACACCACTGAAGCCAAACTAGAAACTTAGTGATGATAGTAGGGGAGCTATTATTGACAATAGGAGTTATCAGAGACTACTGGGTAAACTCATTTACTTATCCCATTCTCGTCCTGACATTGCTGTTGTAGTTAGTGTGGTTAGCCAGTTTATGCATGCTCCTCATGAGACACACATGGTTGCAGTAATGCACATCCTTAGATACTTAAAATCCTCTCCAGGATAGGGTCTCTATTTTTTCAAATATGGTCATCTTAGGTGAAAGCTTATACAAATGCTGATTGGGAAGGATTAACAACTGATAGAAGGTCCACATCTAGTTATTGTACCTTTGTTGGAGGTAATTTGATTACTTGGAGAAGCAAGAAACAGAATATAGTCGTTCGGTCTAGTGCAGGGGCCGAGCTTAGAGCCATAGCACAAGATGTGTGTGAACACTTGTGGATCAAGTTGTTGTTAAGTGATCTGAGAATTAGTCAGACTAATTCCATACGACTATACTGTGACAATAAGGCTGCTATTGACATAGCTCACAATCCAATTCAACATGACCGAACGGAACATGTGGAGATTGAATGTCACTTCATTAAGGAGAAACTCACTAGTGGCACTATATATACTCCTTTTGTGAAGTTGGGTGAACAACTGGCAGATATTCTCACCAAGGGAATTTGGAGCAAACCATTTCATGATGTGCTTGGCAAGCTAGGCATGAAAGACATCTTCACACCGGCTTGAGGGGGAGTGTTAGAATAATATCTTGGTTATTATGTATTTCTTATTCTATATTAGTTGTCATTGGCTATAGTTTCCTTATTTGTGCCTTAAAGCTTCCATTGTAAGCTACATATTATTAATATAAAAAGGAATGATTGTCTCATTCACTAAGTTTTGTTCTCTGTCAAACAAACATGACCTTCTTGTAAAGAGTGAAGTTATACTTGAAGAAAAAGAATGTTTTGTAGATGAGGCAAGTTTAGCTCTCACATTGCTTCCCATGAAGGAAGTGGTTGCAATCTGTTTTCTAGATTCCAAGAAAATTATGGAGTGTCATGAAGTTGAAGCTTCATGGGTGTTGTGATCTTTGCTTCCGAGAAATGCCTCCTATGCTATCTTCAAAGCCATTTGTTCCACTTTGTGTTGATTTGGTACCCAGCCTGGCTTCGTGGAGGAAGAATGAGTTTATTTTGGGACCATGTGAGAAGCATTATTTTGATGACATCTTGTTTTCAAAACGGCATGCTGCATGGGTCGCCTATTCACACCTCAACATGGCTTCAGTTGATGTGCATAAACGAAAACTCATTTTGATGGAATGATATTTGCTAGAATGATCTTAAATAAGGACTTGCAACTACTTGGTCTTGTTTGTCGTTGCATGTCCATTACGCCTCCATGAGTCATAGTCTTGAGTCATTTTGTTGTAGTCCCAACTTGAGGACAAGTTTTTTCTTTAGAAGGGAAGTCTGATGTAGTTAGGATTAGTATAGTTGTTATGTTTTAGTACTGTAAGAGTTAGTTAGAGTTAGTTGGGTCTTTTATCCTTTAAATAGGTGGTTCGGCCTCTAGTATTCAGTCTATGATATTTTGATATTGAATATTTCAATGCTTAAGAGCTCTTGTATCCATTTTGGGATTTTCTCTCTAATGAAATCTCTTTCCTAAATTGGTTCCAAAACTTTCTAAGTGGTTGCCGAGCCCTAGAACTCGTGCCTAGTGGTTGGTTATTTGTAATGGTGGTGTGAGTCTCATCTTTCAATTTTTTTTCCTTCCTCTATATCGCATATTTGTTTGTGTGGATGTTGTATTTGAATTGAATCATTATATAAGTATGTGAGTTGAATGTATCTTCGATTTTGAGGTTTGTTTGCTTGCTTGCTAAGAGAGGCTGAAAGAGAGGGAAAACTCTGTGAATCACCATCTGATCCAACCTCCAAACCGAATGGTTTGGCTTGGTCAATTTCGAACACTATGATGGTCAGTGATGGGTGATCAGTATTCCAACCCGCCATGTTCAGTCGGTGGGTGGGCTAGGGGTGAACCCAACCTCGACCGACCCGTGAACACCCCTACATGATAGCAAATTGGTGAATCGTCAGCTTTTCATTACCAAGTTGGCCGTGTGTTGTGGACTCCAGATCTTTCTTGGTTTAGTATGGAGTGGCTTTTCCCTATGTGAGTCGTGGAGCTTTTTCATGGTTAGCAAGGGGCTCTAGTAGGGAAGAGGAGGAAGAAAGTGTGGGTTTTGATTCCATTATACATTATGTGGAATTGTGGATCATTTGGTTAAAAAGAATGTATAGAGGTTCTTTGTATAGACTAATACATATTTATACTAATTTTTTTGTATAGTTGGAAGTGAGGAGTAACCCTTCTCTTGACTAATTCTTAGGTTCTGGTAGAGCCTTTTGATTCTTGTGGGGATATGGAGGTGTTTTGTTGCTTCTCTTTTGTACATGAGTGGCATTCACTTAATGCCCATCATTTTATTATAAATGAAATGAAAAAAAATATTTTTGTGCCATATTTTTTGTGTTGTGCATTTTTAAATAATTGACATGTCAGCTTGTCAGTGGTGTTCTAATCGTGTCATATGTCACATATCAGTGCTTAGATGGATAAACAAATTGGTTGGTTTTGTTGCCTTGTCTAAAGCCATGTGATATGAATGATGTATATATGTTTGTCTCTGCAGTTTTTAAGATAGGGTGCTCAGTTGATAGAATGGATTTCGATACCTTACATTTATTTTGTATTGATGAGATCTTCAATAATTATTTGTATGTAGAACTATGATTCCTTTTAAGAATTCAAGGCACTCGGGAAATGGGAGTCCTTGGCAGAGTGGAGGATGGGCAACTGCAAAACACAATCATGCTGAATTTCGTAGTATGTCAGGGAAAATCGGCCCACGAGGAACACTCTGGAACAGCCCAAGGAGTCCGTCTGCTTGGTCTGACTCTCCTGTTAAAGGTATGCATTTTTGTTATGCCCTTCATTTTCTCTTCTTAATGTCTCTCTTTATACAATCTCTAAAAAAGTTTACAATATTCTATACAACCTTTTGTTTTGCTCTAATTTTCCCTTAATATCATGGACCGCTTCATCCGTCTGTAATTTCTTCCCCTAGCATAAGTTGTTATTTCCGTCACTAGAAATCTCTCTTCAAATAAAGAGTATGTGTTTAGAGAGAGAGAGAGAGAGAGAGATGACATTGGGGTTTGGTTAGATTGAGAAAGGGAAAGAAGAGTAGTGATGGGGATTTGACTATTGATTATTGAGATACTGATTTGGGATTGTGATTCCCAGTTTCTTCATTCTTCTCTTTATATTGTTTTGGTCTATGAAGCACGGACACCTCTCCGAGGGCTCCGTACCAGTGTCGGACTCGTGTCGGACACGGACACGCGTCGGACACGCGGTGGACACGTGTCCGACACGCACTAGAGAGTGTCCAATTTTTTTTTTATTTTTTCTGAAGCCGGACACGTCCAGGACACGTTATGGACACTTTCGGACACGCACGGGGCCAATTTCAGAATTTACAAAACATTTGTCCGTGCTTCATAGGTTTTGGTGCTACATCAGGTGGTGTACAGTTTTATCACTTGGGTGGTGGTTTTGGTTTGGTTAGAGAGGGGTGGAGGGAAAGTTGAGATGTAGGGTGGACAATAGTTATCTATTATTAGAGAGGGAAAGTGTATGTAGAGTTGTAGAAGGAGAGAGATCTTCTAATGAGAAAAACAGAAAGATGTAGAGAGAGTGGGAGAGACAGGGATATAGACAATTTAGAAAGATTAAGAGAAGGCTTAAAGAAAAAATTAGAGAGAAGACAGACAGAGATGGCTTAGACAAGGTAGAGAGAGTGGAGGAATGGATTCATTGGCATCCAGTAGTTAGGATTGCTCAAGATGATTTTTGGTTGTCCTACCTCAGAAAGGTGTAGTTGAGCCAACTCTTTCGGGTTCATTTGGTATTCTCTAAAACTGTGTATTTGGACTACTTATCACGATTTTAAATGATTCAGCAAAGAGTCGAGGAAACACAATCTTCTGTCTGTACTCAAATGGTAAAAAGTAGGCATGCAATTTGATAGACTTTTTGATGGTCTGTCGCATAAATAAACCCCCAAATTTCCTTTGGTAATACCCTATTGAGGTTTATGTTTTATGGTTTTTATGGAGCATGGACGTGGACATGACAACACAGATGCATCAACATGTAATTTTTTTTAAAATAGGACATAAATGCTCTGGGGACATGTCAATTACTTAAAATATATTATTTCATGTTGGAGAAATCAATAAATTTTATTAATTTATTTAGATTTGTTTGTTAATAATTGCATAATTGGAAATTAAAGGTCAACAAGCATTGGAACATGATTTTCAGAATTGTTGCTGCTACTAGTTTGTTTCCTTAGAACTATATTCTTTTTCATGGTAAATATTTTCTTTTGAAATATCTTAGACATGGAATGCTCGTGTTCCAGACATTAATTGGCACATGTTGCCTATTTTAGCGTCAAACAGACACAACTCCTATGACAAGAATGATGAATTATTGTTCATACTTTATTGCTTGGATTTCACAATGAAGCAGTAATGAGAATAAAAAGATAATAATAATACAAAAGTAAAAATAAAAGGAAGCTGGGAAGATCAATCTTGTAGAGGATGATCCATGCTGATGCATTCTTCATGAAGATTTCTATATATACAATGGTGCTATTGTATTATTTGCACACATGGCAAGGTTTAAATTTGCTTGTTTCTTGGTGTTGCAGGTTTGATATCTTCACCCACTGATAGGGTGACAAGAAATCAGCAGGATTACTATTCAACCTTCCACAAAACACCCACTAGAAGGAAGATGTCGAAAAAAGAGTGGGAGACTTTCACAAAGGAATCAACCCGGGAAGCTGTGGCAGAGTTGGCATCCTCCCCAGAGTTTACTGATTGGATGATCAAGCATGCGGACAGGATACAACTCCTTCCAGATGATACTTCAGATGAAACACTTGGAAGCGGGTCAGATTCCACTGATGAGAATGCTGTAGAGAGCTGCAACGAATTTGGTTTATTCAAATGGCAGCACCAAAAGTTGTAGATCAAACTAGTTATGCGGGAATTAGACATTTGATATTGACATTTGTGGTAGAACATGATGTAGAGGGTTAGGAATAGTTCTCAAATTCGTTCTTTTTTTTATTTGTTTTTGGTTATTTCCTCTTACTGTGGATCTTGTGAAAAATTTGCAAAAATCTATGTAATGTTACACTTTCAGCTTTAGTATATGCTTCTTCCCTTGAAAGGCCTCTCTCTACATGTTCATAATGGAGGCTAGGGGACGGCACAATTGTGATTTCTGGAAGTATTTTCGATGGCGCATGAAAACCACATTGTCAATTGTTTTGACTCATTTTGGGACCAAATCATATGTATGCTTGGGCTAAAAAAATTAGTTTTGAGTTTATTACCGGCCTTTGTTACTTGGCTAGTGTTTAGGTATGCACGCATTGTTTGTTTAGATAAATTTCAGATACGGTTTCACTCAGAGTTAAATTTATTTGCTGCAAAATCTTTTATACCTTTTGGAAAAGTTTAGAAAGATTATAATCTTCTAAGTGGCACCGTGGCATGACATGTCATTGCCATAACCTCATCACCACATAATAATCTCCATGAACCTGGGACACCTATTAGTCTCGTGAGGCGACACTCAAGCCAATTAGGCATCTCCACAAATCTACTTACCTTTGTTGAGCAACAGGGGATGAGAACATATGAGATGTTGACTTCGAGATTAGGTGCTTAGAGAAATTCTCCACGGCATCTCCTAATATGCTTATCCAAACGCACTTTGCAATCCATTGGCTTGGTGGGGCAACTTATTTCCAATGGCAACGTGCGGCTGTTGCGCTATTGGGTTGAGCACACAAACCAAAAAAATCGTAAACTGGCCTAGTCCAAATCAAATTGCACGGTGTAGTTTCATTTTTTTAATGTATGGTTCAGTTTTGGTTTTTGAAATAGGCGAACCGTACTTCACAGTTCAGTCTGTAGTTTTATAGTTATGAATCCAGTTGGAATTAAAGCTGCGAATGAACTAAACTATTCGCGAGCTAGCTCAACTCAACTCGTTAAATGAGCTGAACTCGAGCTCGAATATTAGGCTCGTTTAGTAAACGAGTTGAGCTCGAGTTCGAATAAGCTGGACTCATTTATTTTTATTTAAATTATGTAATAAATATATTATTTATATATTAAATAATATATAAATATATAAAAATTATTGCATGAATACATTATTCATGTATTAAATAATATAAATAATTAAAAAAATCTTATCAAGTCGAGCTGAGCCGAGTTCGAGTTTTATTAATATTAATAAGTTGAGTCGAACCGAGCTTAAGTCCAGTTAGTTATTGAGTCGAGCTCGAACTCAATAAACGAGCTCCATAAGCAAACGAGTCAAGTTTGAACTCAGCAAAGTTTAGCCTGGCTCGAGTCGTTTTCAGCCTTACCGGATTGTTTAGATTATATATATAATTTGTTACCGAATGTAAATATTAAAATATTTTATTAGTATCAAATATATATATATATATATATATAATAATTCTCTACTATTATAAGTATGTTTTTTTATAGTGATAGAACTACATGAATAATTCTTAAGTTGTGAATAATATTTTGTGATCACATTGTGACTAATGATAATATTTTTAAATCTACGGTTCCGAACTGAATCGAACCATGATTTAGTGGTTCAGTTCAGATTGGTTCCAAGATTTTCTTGGACTGGTTTGGTTCTAAATTTGATGAAACCATAGGTAATCGATTGGTCTTGATTTGCGGCTAAACCGAACCAATCCAATCCATGCTCACCCCTATGTGCTAAGTCTAATTCAAGAATAAGGTCCACGGAATTTTTTATTTATTTTTTGAATTGAGAAGGAAAAAAAAAACAACTATTTAGGAAAATATGTTACATTTGAAATCGCGGTGCAGTTTCGATTGAAATCACAACTTCAAAACCTAATTTCATTGTGAAGAGACTAATTGGCAAAAAAGTAGGTTTGAGGAGTTGATGTTTTGATGAGAGGAGACTTCAGGCCTTGTACCATGTTTAGGGATATCGAAATCGGATTGCCCGAGCATTCAACAAGAAGGTGAAAGCATGAATTTAAAAGAAGGAAACCTTGTGCCTAAGAAGAGCTGAGCCCCTATTCATGATCATAGGGCAAGTTCAAACCAAATTAGATGGAACCATACATCATCAAGACCATCATATCAGGGGGAGCAATCATTCTCATGGATTTGGATGGGACATAATTCACACAACTTACTAAAATGTACAAATTGAAGAAGTACTATCTTTGAGAGAGCTCACTAGAACGAAATCCCGAACGGACTATCTTAGCAAAAGTTAGAGCAATAAAAATGAAAAGTGAAAAAGAAAGGTCTTGCAAGGTCAAAAACCCAAAATGGTGACATTTGCAAAAATTAGAGCACTAGGGGAGAGAATTAACTCCCGAGTAAACCCTTACCATGAATTTCGTATGGCCTAATTCCTATCCTTAGGATACATAGGCAACTTTACAATGAAGTTCAGCCCTATCTCATCCAATCTTACATGGTCATTCAACCCTTGCACTTGTTCATAATTATGGCATTATTGAGTCGAGTTATAACAATGAGGGGTTCTAGTTGTACAGCTCATGGGATTCAATTTCAAATTATGTTTGATTGTGGATTCATTACAAGGTTTTATTTGAGTGTTTTTAATAAAGATGAGTGAGTTCGTTTTACTTTCTATTTGACCATTCACATTTTAAAACATGAGTAATTCATAATGCCTTATTTTATTCATATAAATCTCAAAACATAACATCAAAAGCATGTCCAACTAATGCCTACTTCATAACATCAAAAGCATGTCCAACTAATGCCTACTTCATGAAAGTTCTGAAAACTAAAAAAATACATGAGAGGGGGGAGGGGGATGAAATGCTAAACTAGGGGCACCACTGAATGGAGTCAAAGTCAGGTCCTTTGTCTTTTGTTTGCTTTTTGGTTGAATATCTCGTTCCACTGAATGTTCTTCTTTAACCACTAGATATACTTGTTGGTGAATCTGCGACTGAAAGTGTCCGTTGCCGCCAAGAATTCCCTTGATTACGAAGCTTTGTACTTTGCCTTCAAATGCGGAGCCCAGAATGCAAAGGATAGAGGATATGACCTAATGTTAGAGGGGATCACTTACTTTTGACCAATTTGCTGAAGAATTTTATTGGGGAAGTAGTAAGCAACACGGGTCAATCCCATGAACTCCACACCAGAAAAATGGAGCATAGCACAAGTCATTGTAGGGAGCATCAACCAGAGGCAACGCCAAACAATGTCTCTAGCAGTTCTACTGCACATCCAGTCATGCCAGTCTGCAATTGTGGTTAGATTCACTATTTGGGGCCAAGCGTGATAAGAATTCACTAAGTATTGAGTCGGAGCCTTTCTCACCATCAACTTATCCATGAGCCATATCTGGGAAGAGCAAAACAAAAAAGAGATTAATTAATAGAGAGGTGTAAGTTGAGATGAAAAAGTGAGTCAGGGTGTGCAAAATAAAAGAGAGATAAAAGAATAGAGAGGTGTGAGCTGAAAGGAAAAGGTAAGTTACGAATGTACTTGAAGTAGCAAAAGGCTACCGGCAAAGTTAGCGGTTTCTCCATTATGAACCTTCTCTAAACCCATCAAGGTCTGTGCCACAACTCAGTCGATGAAGCTCCTACCTTCCATAACTTGCTTGGTGACCTCCACCAAAATTGGGTTCACTACTCCATTGCAAGGCACTAGCAGAAACTGAGCCAACAAGCATATATCTATTAGGCATTTTGCCTATTCCGTTGGCATTTCAAGTCACTTCAACCCCTCCTGTGAACAAATTTATCGACCAAGTTGGTAATGGACAATTCATTGTGGCATAGAAAAGCTTTGGCTTCACTCGAGAGCAACCCACAGATCTCCACGAGCACTTTTGTATAGCCAACCAATGGCACTGGTTGTACCACATCAGTACATGGTGGACAATCCATCAATGTCTAGAATTCTTCGAAGGTTGGGCAAAGCTCTTGATGCCCAAATCAAAATACATGAATGCTTGGGTCCTATGAACGCTCACACGAAAAAAGGGCCAATAAGATGCACTGTACTCAGGAAAACAAGGTGTTCAACCTATAGTTCTTGAAGTTAATACACTCAACACCATCAAGGCTATTCATCTAAGTCGTCAAACCGCCACGCGAAGACATCACGATGAAGAGGAGATGACAGGAGAGAACTTTTTGGGCTAACCTAATGCTCAAGGAGGTGTTTTGTTCATTGGAATGAGTGAATATACGCTCAATATATATATAGGAAAAACATGGAGATCTCAAAGCTTCCTTTTTGACAAACTTCTTGTTTCACAAAAGGCAACGTAAAAACGCAGTGGATCTCCCATCAGTGGCGAGTCCAGAATTTTTTTTCAAGGTGTTCACTGTGGATACCTCATGATTGTTTTTAGGATAAACATTTAAAATTTTAATTTTTTTAAACTTTTCAAATCACACACAAATAAATAAAATAAATAAAATTCCAATATATTAATATCATTGTTTCAAAAAATAAAATGTAGATATAAAAATTTACATAAATATATTTTGTTTTTATTGCTAGCATGATTTTTTAAAAAAAATGAAGAAAGCTCCTTTAATTTAAATTGAGATAAGCTATAACACGATTGATCAACATTAATTTTCAAGTGGTATACTTGTTGGGAATTGCAAAATTACACAATTTTGTCAAAGAGGTACTTTGTCCAGGCCATGGAAGCAAAACTCCAAAGCATACTGTGTATTCACTTCACAAAGCATATATATTGATTAAAGAGTTATGGGTTGGGTTGGATTGGATTGGATTGGATTGGATTGGGTTAGGTGTTCAACTGAGTTACGTGTTTAAGAAGATGGATTAAGGTGTTCAACATAAAGTTTTGGACTGAATTATATATATGTATAAAATAAAAATAAAAAATTTCATGGTGTTCAATTATTGAACACCCAATAGTGGCTGTAGAGTTGCCCCTAGTGATGCTCCAAAGAATGCCACATGCCATAATTATGTTATTACCCATCCTTAAATACCCTGAGTCAAACCAACAAATTTGTTATGTTGAATATTTAAAATAAAGTATAAAAGTAAATAGCTAAAAAGCCTTAAAAGAAAGAATGTTAAAGAAGAAAGAACTTAGGAATCCTTGTGATTAATGAATAAGACAATTTGAAAATAGAAATATGTTTCAATAAAATAACCCAAGATTAGAAATATTTATTATTGAGAGTTAGGGGATGCCTTGAGCTTAGATTTACAAATGCTAGGATGTGCTTATGCACTAATTGAGAAGCTTAAAGATCTTAGACTAATATGCTTGTCGATTTAATACTATATGACATTTTGCTAATTAGGATTAGTGAATCCTAATTGAGATTAACTAAGCTAAGTAAGATTAAATTAAACCTTAATTTAAAGGCCAACCTTGATTAATTGTAACTAAAATTTATTAACTAAGATAAGTAAATAAGATTAGATAAATTGGTGAGGTATACAAATAAATAATGCATACACCTCCCTTTTGCCCCACCTCACCGAATAAAAGCCAAACCAAGCCAAACAAGAGAAGAAGAAATCTACTGTAGCCTAGAGACATCGGGAGAAAGCTAGAGAAAGAGAGAAAAGAGGAGAAAAAGAGAGAAAGGAGGAGGAAAAGGAAGAACTCAAGGAAAATTGTACCAAAACTCATCTTTTAGCAAATCTAAGGTAAGATTTCTATCCTAATCCTTGTAATAGACCTTTTTAGCATCCAAGATCAAAAAAGTTATGATTAATTTGGTTTTAAAATGAGGAAATGATGAAAAGAATGAGAAAGGTTCAAACTTAAAATTCTATCATTTTGAAGTAGTTTTTGATATCCTTGATGCATTTGAACCTCTATCTCTATATATTCTTTTGATTTTCAGGAGTTTTGCATAATTGAATTCATGTTTTAAAGGAAAGGAAGAAGGGTTTTGGAAAAGAATTTAAAAGAAGCTAGGTTCAAGGATTTCTTAATTTGAACTGTGATTTTGATATATGGATCTTGAAATTCAGCCAAGTTTTGATGTTTTTGACTTTGAAAAGATCATAATTTCATGTTTACCAAGTTTGCATGATTTAAATCAAGTTTCCATGAGCCCTAACCCAATAAATGGAGGAAGAAAGCTTTGCATTATAGCAAATTTTTGGACAGGTACAGTTTACCCAGAACCGCACGTGCGGTGGGGATTCCCACACACGTGGCTAGCCTTTCCAGAACCCATTTTGGCTACTGGAATAACCACACGTGCAACCCTTTTTCTCCGCACGTGCGACACCCTTGCTCCAAGACCAAATCTTGTTTTTCAAGCCTTGTTTGCTTAGGACCCTTCCATACTTGCATTCAATACTTGTTTAGTGCTTGTATAAGACTTGACTTAAGCTTAAAATAACATGTGGCATATAGGAAAAGAATAAGAAACGTTTAGTCAAGTTTAGGTATTCGATTTGTTAAGTTTGTATGTGTGAACTAGGTGCTTCTATACCATGATTAACACTTGAATTTAAAGTTTAAACGCTAAACAATTTGAATATGAATTAGGAAGCATTAAACCACTTAGAACACTTTACTTAATCTAGAGCCTTATAAGCTAAGTTATGACCAAGCCTTGATCAAGTTTGGAAAGAAGTTAGAAAACACTTAACTAAGTAATTAGACAACTGATTTGTTATGTGTACACATATAAGTTTGGAATTTCAATGCTTTACTCTTGTTTTGTAGGTTAAGCTTTGAAGAAGTTACACCCTCGTTCTCGGAGCCATTTGTGAGTAGTAGTATAGTAAAATTATGTCATTAAAATTATGATTTGAAATGCAAACCTATGCTATGTTTATGAAAGTTAAGTTATTGTTTTGTTATGAATGAACATCATATATTTTTATATCATGTATTAAGATGACATCTTGGAACAAGTTTGTTATTGGGAATCATGCCAATAACCTCTAGCTAACCGATCTCTTTGCCACCCATTGTGGCCTTTTGAATTCTTGACTCGAAGTGCCTTGAGAATGTTCATCACTATGTATATGTTGCAAGATAAGCATATTTTGTTCTAACAAGTTATATTATGTTCAAAATGAGCTTGTGCTTGATTTTAATAAAATTTATCGGTGTTCATTCATTTACCCCTTTACTGTATTACTATTCACTGGGCAATGGCTCACCATTTCCCTTATATATATATATATATATATATGTGTATGTAGGTGACAAAGAGTTCAAGTATAAAGAGAAGTTGGTTAGAAGCCGGTCTTATGTGCTTATGCTGATCTTATAAAAGTTGTGATATAAGTATTGTATTCGATTTCATTATTAAAGACTTGAAATGATGTAAGATAATAATGATGTATGCTTTCATTTCATATAGATATACACTGCTCTGAAGGGATGTTTTAAATGGACTCAACATAAACAAATAATGGCTTCCGCACTCTATAAAAGAACTTTTGCCCTAATTATATTAAAGAGCTCGACTTGCTTTCGTTTAGTAGGCCTTTGGTAGTCAATGACTACTAGCCAATCACTACACCATCCTGTTTGGTGCGGGTTGGGGGTATCCTCTTCGTCACCTTTTACCTCTCTGGAGCGCGTCTCGCTGCTCTCCTCCAAATCATCATTATATCAGCAGCCAGGGCAGGAGGAGGAATCACTTTGGCTGCTCTCTAACTGCCAGAAGACCCATCTTTAGGTGCAGCTTATAACACAGATTGACATTAAAGTGTTAGTATAGAGATCAAGTAGTATTAAATAGACAAGGGGCAATTCTCAGAGGCGGAAAAGCAAGTAGTACCTGAGGGGATGGACCTTGCCCTCCAGAGGCAGACTAATGTACCAGTATCATTAAGTCGATGATCATTCGGTAGCAATCCTCAGCATGCTCACAGGAAACCTATATTGAAAGCATAGTGTTTAGAGTACTGAACAAAAGGAAAATAAAATATTGACTGAAGCAAGACTAGTGCTACCTGATGGATGTCGAGCGCCAACCTCATTGGCACAGTCGAGGGCGTTGGGATTGCTACATTCTCAAGCTTGCTAGAGGGAGATTGAATGGTGACTGAAGTAGGCACCTTTGGCAATCTTGGATCCACAATTGGGGCACCTCGCCTCATCCAATAGCAGTAACAATGGCAAGAGCAACTTGTGCAATTAGAGGACCTCTCAGCTTGGTTCGAACAAACTCAAAGCAATCGCCTCCCTTTAAGAGCTATCTCGCATCAGTACCTTCCATCGCTGGAACAATGTCCTCTGGACAAAAGGCCTTAGCATACCTCATATCGTCAAGTACCACGAGGAGGACTCTAAGCAGAAAAGGACCCTGCAGCAAGATCCTATGGTCAGTGATGTCGTGAGCTGGCGCGTAGAGGTCTACCACCTTTGGCATCCAAGTAACCTGTAATCATGACAAAGAGCAGAATGTAAAAATGGCCCACGGCTCGACTAAGCCCAGCTAGGCCAGGCTTGAGCCCAATCTGAACCCCCAAGCATGGGCCATGTGTTTTCTGGTCCGGCCTGCTCCGAGCCCACTCTGAAGCCACCCGAGGCCTAACCTTATTTTTAAGTTATTTTGATGAAAAAAATGAAAATAAATAAATTAATAACTATCGGGCCCGTCCCAAGCCCCAACCCAAGCCTGAATTTGCCTAGGGCCTAGCCTTGGGCCTAGGCCAAGATTTCGCAAGAGTAGGCCCAGCCCAACCCGACCTGACCTGATTTTTGGTGGGAGCCTACAAGGCCCAAAGGCGGGCCGGGCCAAAATTACACCCCTAGGTCACTATATCAAAGAACTACTGGAACTCATAAAAGCTTGATAGTCTAGGGGCATGGTTGCGGTGCTTACAAAAGTACAGTTGGGATCATGGAACAATGTTCACATCCACACCCTGAGCTCCAGGGGTATTCACTCTAAAGCACTCAAAGCTCCACACTTATAGATTCAATACTCTACTTAGTTCAAATTGGGGCAAACAGATCAAAGCAATTTAAAGACAATGCATGCTGGGGCATAAACTGATGCAAGACAGTAGCAAGCTGATGCAAGACGGTTAAAAAACTAGAAATGAATTGAAATAGTAAATCATACGTCCCAGCAATGATGGCACTTTATTTGAATAATCAAGCAATGTTAAATATGATGTTTTTGCATGTTTTATCTTCATGCTACGTAGTGATTGAATATGAAATGTTTGAGATTCCTAGATTTTCATGAAGTGAATGAAATGCATTGTTGGAGAGTGGTTCGTTCTATTTTATCGATTCAATCAAGAATTTTCTACATATATGTTTTTATTTAAATATTAAAAGTTATATTTTCCCGAAATTAAATAAAGAATCAATTTTTTTTTTTATATTATTATTCAGATCCTTTAGAAATCGAGGCATTACAAAGAGAGAGAGAAAAGCTAGAGAGAAAAAGTGAAGGTAGAGAGAGAGATGTTTTCAGAAAAGTGGTAGAAGAAATGGAGGGGTTTTGAAATATTTTTACAGGTTTCAAGAGGCAAAAAGTCAAATCTGCCCCGACTCTGCCTCCAATAATGCAACTGCATATCTGACATGTGGCCGCATAATGACAATGTGCAGCCCAATGTCCTAAGTGTGGGTAGGCCCATTCCATGTGCGACTAGGCCATTTCTTCTAGGGGTCAACCCCAAGAGGCCCAAGTATGTCTTAAACTCAAGCTCAAGCATGAGTTTGCCTTCCCGAAGTTATTCCCTTCTTGTCTCAATTCAAACTCTTGTTGCATTGTCAATCACTAACAGCACTTATCCTATCTTGTAATGCATTTTCTCATATGAGCATTTTGCACCCCAGTTGTTATGTTGCGTGTTGCCTACTTTAAGTCATACTTAATTTATCTGTTGATATCCTTGTTCATTTGCAGATGAACTTGATAATTGTTGCATTTTCTAACCAAACTGTTGTGAGTTTCTTACTTATGTTGTTTTACTCATACATTCCCGAATGTACTCGACAGGTGTTGATTTCCATGTTTTATTTCTGAATTGGCATGATCAGGTGTTGTTTTGAATTCCATATTTTATTTTTGAATGAGTATGATCAGCTGTCGTTTTGAACTCCATGTTTCATTTTTGGATGAGCATAACCAGATGTTGCTTTGATTACATTATATGTTGATTCCTACATTTCATTTGTGAATAAGCATGATTAGGTGTCGTTTTGGTTACAATACATCTGTTTGATTGTCTATGTTTTATTTCTGGATAAACATGTTTACGTGTCGCTTTGTTTATGTTTCATCTCCAGATGAACATGACAGGTGTTGAATCTGTTGCATTGTCACTGTTGTTTTCCCAATGCATTCCTGGATGTACTTGATAGATTTTGTTTTCCATATTTATTTCTGGATGAATTTGATAGGTGTTGCATTGTTCTAACCACACAGCGGTGTACTTATTATGAACTGTTGATTTCCTTGTGCATTCCCAGATGCACTTGATAGGTGTTGATTCCCTTGTTCATTTCTAGATGAGCTTGACAAGTGTTCTTCTTCCTTGTGCATTCGCTTAATATACTTGATTAGGTGTTGTTTCCTTCAATATATCTCTGTTTTCAAACTTATTTACTACACTGCATGCTTGGTAATTGTTGCATATTGTCCATTGAGTACTCCACTCACACTTGCACATTGATTGTCACATATTACATGCCCCAGAACCACACTAATCTGATTCCTTACAAATGATGATACATGGGTAACTTGTTAGGTACGATCATTTGCTTGTTTGTTGGACACTTTGCTTTACGTCCTATTGTCTTGCCAATTGGGCTGGTCTCAAGGCCTTGACATTCACTCCTGTCACCTATGACTACTCAAGTTCTAAATATATAAAAAAAAAAAAGAAGTAATTGTAGACACTCGACTTAGGTGTTTGGATGCTTCCCGATGATAAAATTGGTGCACTTTGATGAAAGAGAATGTTTAGGCCACTGTTGGGCTCTTTGAACCACTTTCCATACCCAAAAAACATTTGTCATCTAAAATTTCCTTTTAGTATCTTTTAACAAAAGGAGAATAAGGCAGGCCTAAATAAATTTGAGTTAACAAATTTTACAAACATTAGCTAAATTTATGATCCATAATGTCAATTGAAATTTGATTGGGCTTTCCTATGCAACAAGATAGTCCAAGAGTCGAAGTGTGGACCCAAAAACCCAGTGGGCACGTAGGTTTTTCTACCTTCGGCCTTACATCTTTGGTTCACCCTCAAGTTCCACATGCGGCCGCATTACAGGTTCATGGCCGCACAACCTTTGTGCGGCTGCACATGTGGAAGTGAGGTGTGTAGCCATATGAGAATCTCACTGTTTGCAGATTTAATTTTTGAAAGATCTTGTTGCTTTATCGGGAGAAAGGTGTCGGGATAGAGTGTATACACATTAGGTTTAGCCCTAATATGTATGCACTTGCTCCCTAAGGCTTTTTGATCTATATATACCTGTGAGATCTCTCGGAAGGCGTCCGACATGCAATGTGAGACATAAGCAAATGGTCTATACCTAGCATATCCGATGAAAATCCTCTAATCAAATGAAGTGCTAAATATAGATCAATCAAGAGATAGGGAGTTGCCACCTAATCTTTATGGAGAAACTATGAAACCTTGACTCGTGCCAAAAGCCATCGTCCATCGTAACTAAAGTGCCTCAGCTCGAAAGTTTAGCTAAGAGGGAGGAATGTCATGAAATGAGCATCTATGCTCACCTAATTAACGATCGGTCTCTACTAAGTCTTGATATGAGACGCACGAACACAATATGATCATCTAACCCGATTATTAATGCTAACATTACTACGTGGAGCAAGCAAATATAGACCAAATCACCCACTTTGGAATGTTATGATCTCTTGCATTTCGAAAGGGGTTTTGGAGCAAGAATCCCAGGAAAAAGAGGGATAACTCATGTGCAAAGAGATCGAAATTATCCCAACTTAGGCAATAAGACCTCTAAACAATTGACAAACAGAGAGATATAGCACATAAGCACATAACCTCATAGTAGCATGTCGAACATAGTAAATACATGCACATGATGAAGAAAAATGAAGAAACTCACCTAGTACTCCTTTGATTCATGCCAAGAGCATAATGGGTTAGAAAACAATGCATGATCCTAGGTATGGTAGACTAAGAGATGATATGCAAAGGAACGAAAAGAACACTTACCGAGTATTCCAACCAAGTGCAACAGAAAAGAAATAGTTAGAAAAGATGTATAGTGCAACAGAAAAGTAATAGTTAGAAAAGATGTATGATTCTAGTTGCGATATTCTACAAAATGCAAAACACACATGCAGTGAATCCTACAAGCCCCGGTCGCTACTAAGGATGGCATGTGAATCATCAAGAAAAGCACACCACATAACAACAATATCTACTAAAACAATAATCTGGCTCGAATGGATGATCCTAATTTTACTCATTTAAATGTCATGATAACAACATAAAATCTAAGTAAAGTGGATAAAGCTATACTAAGAGAGAGTAACGATAGGGAGAAAAGAAACATGCTCTAACACACGCAACAAGTATATCATCTATAATAACTACTATGAGAATTCCAATGAGAATAGGGAGGTTCTAACCCTCAAACAGATGGAAAAAGGGTGCAAAGCTACCCAAATCCATGAAAAGAATTCTGAGACGGTAGATCCAACCTATTCTCATGAAGGAAGTCGTGCCTGGGCTTCTCAAATGAACAAAATTAAAGAATTAAGGAAGACTCCAATGAGGATAGAAAAGATTCTACCCCTTAAGCACATAGAAAAGGGTATAAACTACCCAAATCCATGAGAAAGAGTGGCGAGAGGGGAGATTCAACCTATCCTCATGGAGGAAGTCGTGCCCGGGCTTCTAAAATAACAAAATCACCAAAATAATGAAGGGATGTAAACTCTAGAAAGGATGGAGAGACTCTATCCCTCAAACACATGAAAAAAGGTATGAAATACCTAAGTCCATGAACAAAAATGATGAGAGGGGAGATTCAATCCATTCTAAATATAGGAAACCGTGCCTGGGCTGCTATCCCAAGAAAGAAAAACAAGTTGGAGTTGGCCAAAGTCTCTATACAGGCCCTAAATTACTACAGAAAGTGTAACGGTTCAGGTTGAGATCTAAGTTTTCTATCAAAAATTGGACTTAGTTTGAAAATTTTCTAAATGTTAAAAAATTGAATTTTTCAAAATTTATAATTTTGAAAATAATATTTGGCAGTAATTGTTCCTTATATATTAAATAGTCCAATTTGATTTTATGAAATTTTTCTACGAGATATTAATCACTTTAGTCAACGTCAAACTTAGAAATTTTAGTCAGAAAATTATTTTTGTACTAAAATTAGGGAGTTACTTTTTTGATTTAATTAGATTTTAATTTTTTTTTTTTTTTTTCTTTGAATCCAAATGAGGGGGTATTTCCTTATTTACATTGTAAACTTAAGTAAATGAAATATAAATGTAAGAGGTTAAATGAAAGCATTTATTTAAATGGTTACATGTGGAAATAAGGTTGATGTGCTGGGAGTGCCTTAGGAACTGAGCTGTGTGACTAGTTGTGTCTAGGGTGGCCGCTCGAGCAGTCACGTGGTTACTTGAGCGGAGATGCGAGGCTTCCAGTATTTTCACTGTAGACTTGCAAAACTTCTGAAAGATTGCTTTCATCGCTCGAGCGGTGAAATGTTCGGTCAAGTGGTTTGTTCGGGATTAGCACTTTAAAAAGTCATTTTTAGCCCATTTTATCCATTCTTTTCATATTCGTTCTCTCTCCTCTCCTTTTCTACCATTGTTGAGCTCCAAACCTCCTTAAAACTTGGATTTCATCTCCTTAGAGTGAGAATCTCACCCTAGCACCTTATACAAAAATGAAGAGCACGAAGAGGGCTTTCTATTAATCTAAGCAGATCGTGTTTTCATCGACATTGGATTTTCGAGTCTCTTTCTCTCCTTGCCAGAGGTAGGGATTTCCTTGCTTATCTTCAATATTTTCGTATAGATAGATGGGTGGTATGTTTTTATTGCATAAAACCTTGCGTGAGATTTTCTTGAAAAACATGTAGAGAAATGTTAGGGTTTCTAACACAAAATAGTTAACCTATGACTGAAAGTTGATTATGAAAGTTTTGAGCTATTGAAATATGATTATGCATTTTGGAGAAAAACTCTTGTCCAAACCCTAGTTTTGAATATAATTTAAACATGGGGTTTTCTTTAATTGGCCTTAAATTCTTGAAATTGATTTGATGCTCGGTTAATTTGAGTATGAATGTTGATTATTAGATGTTGTGAGAACAATCCTTGCGGGGATGGGTTCGTGGTATAGTAATTGGTGATAGAGATTTGTACGAACTATGGAAAGTGTATGATACTAAATGGGTTAATTAATTCAAATGAAGGGAGTTCATATTGAGGTATGGGAAACATTGTAGAAAAATAAGTCATATTTGTTTATAAAGCAGAAACTTTACTTTTGTGGCTAAATGAATTTTGGTGTGATTTTCTGGATTGAAATGAAGGATTAATGGGTTAAGATTTGGAAAGAGGGTTCATTTCCTTCCAGCTCGTGACTGGTAAAGCGTAGCACTCGATAGAGGTTCCATTTTCCTTCCGGAGTAGCACCCAGTAAAGCGTGTGGATTGTTGGGTTATATGGAGGTTCCGCTTTCCTTCCGGTTAGCCACCGCTAAAGCATAGCGCTTGAGATAGGTTCTAGCTTTTCTTCCGGAATAGCGCCCGATAAATTGTGTTGATATGGCTTGGTGAAGCCAGTTGTTGGCAGGTGGATATTCATTGTGAATTCTTGTAACAATTTCGTTACGTGATTGTGATAATTGTTAGATGTAGATTTGAGGCGTGTAATGTGGAATATGTTGTTAATGAGTTGACTGTTATAGTCCAATTATATGAAATATATTGACATATATATGAGCTTGGTGTTTTGTGGGTATTGGTAAGGTGACGAATTGTGGCGTAATTAATGGGTGTAAAATATGGATTAGAAGTAGCAAATGATTAGTCGGCTTAAAACCTTTATCTAAGGAAACAAGATTTAAGGAAATCATTCGAAAGAATTTTGATGAGATAAAGAGTTAACAAGGAGGTCTCTATGAAATGTCAAGTGGAATTTTGTGAAAAGAGTATCTATTTTTGTAATCTATTTTGCATATAAAAGGACACATTATTTATATATGTATCACTTAATAGCATTTATGGTCACATTTATCTATTGATTATTATTGTTGAGAATCACTGTAGTTCCCTACTGGACCTCGTGTTCATCCTATGTTTATCCATTTTTCAGAGACAAAGTCGAGTACAACAGTTAGAAGACCAAGAAGTTATTTATTATGTTATGAGTCCATGTTGTGTAAATTGTCAATGAAAGATTAAAGGGTAGTGGTGTTGAGGTGGTTCTTTCTATGTAATTAATCTTTTATGTAAGCCTTTAGGGCATGTTTTGTGAATATTTGTAGCACATTTTATCATTGTAATTATGCGAGAGAGAGCCTCATTTATCCTATCTAGTTTGTGTTGCTTCTATAACTATTATTGAAAAATGGACTTTTATAAAGAATTTTGGTAAATTATCCATGAAATAAAATTGAGGGCATGAGAGAGAGAGAGAGAATCCAATTAATTAATCAAAAACAACCCAACTACACTATCAATATCTCATGAATAATCAAGAAGAGAGAGAGAGGTGGAAAATGAAAAGAGAATGCTATGGAAGTAGGGATTACCTTTAAACCCAATAGTGATAGGGCCCAAGCTGGTCACAAACTCTAGTCCAAACTCTCTCAAGCTGATGATCAAGGCTAGCTCCAAATCTTCAAGTCTTTAATCCAAGAAGATGAAGAAAACCTCAAGTGTATGAGTGTTTGAGTATATGAGTGTAGAGAATTGAGAGAGTGATTGCCTTAGAGTTAAAAAACGACCAGCCTCAAGATTTAACAATCTTTCAAATTGACCAACCTCTCATCTCTCTACAAGGGAGGGTTTAAATAGGCTCAAGATGCTTAGAATATGCCATTTGGGCTCCAAAGATCCAGACGGCATATTCCAAGATGCTAGGGGACCACCTCATTAGAAGTTGTTTGGTGATTCTCAATAGTGCTTAGTTGGACAAAAGATTGTACGGCCGTTCCATATTTATCCATCAGTCAGAAATTGACTAACCTCTCATCCCTGGCCATTCCATAATTGACCAACTTCAAATTGACCAACCTCCCATAATTGACCAACTTCAAATTGACCAACCTCTCATAGTACAATCCGGCCAACCTCTCATCTCTCTTCGGGTGTGCTTATGCAAACAGAAGTTGTCTTTTGGTCAGTCTTGAAAACAATCCGACCAATACACTTATGTTCAACCGACCACTACTTTGTTTGGCCACACTGTTCTAAAAAAGGATATTCCCCTCTTCTCACTCATTCCAGCTTCCTATGCTTGTCTCTTTGAAAATAGATCGACACTTTTAAAAAACACAAAGCTAGAAAAGGTTACAATGCTTGAGAAGGTCTCTCTTGCCTTAAAAAAATGTTTCAAAATAGGTTTGAAGGTCTGGAAAACTCTTTGACCAAAACGGGTGTAGGAATGTTTGGTTTTCTTCATCATCGAGTTGTGTTTGACCTAATCTTTGCTTTCATCATTAGGAGCTTTTCGTAGAGTGTCTAAGTCTTAAGGCCAGTCAAAAATGGGATGCCTACAGTACCCCCACCTCCTCCTTTTTTAGAGAGAACTTATAACATAAAACCCTTGCCCAATTTACTCCCCTAATCTTAAAGCTCCGAAAATACACACTCAACATACATACAAATGGCATTTAAACAGTGCTCAATCATACTCTAAGGTCAAAACAAGTTGAGCCAAATACATCCCAAAACTTTAGAGAAGCATTCAAACAATCCTTCTTTGCTTTTGCTTGCGTTTCTTCGGTTTGTTTATCAAACGTAAGGTACTTCCTCTTTTTCCTTTTATTTTCAGTGATTTATGTGTTTGATAATGGTTAGTATATTTCCATGCTATCATATTGTAATATTAGTTAGATTAAATTTCTATACTATTTTGTTAGTTTTAATGTATGTTTGCGTTGTATAGTTGTTCTAGGTTGTTTACATCGCATTTCATGCATATTGACTTGGTCAATTCATGCGTATACATGATCTTACTGTCGTGTTTTCTTTCCCCCCCCCTGTAGGTAGTATCGGTAAAAATCCTTCTCCTATTGTTAAATATGTTTTATTTGTTAAATCCATAATTTTGATGCATATTTATCATATTAGCTACCTACTCGGGCTTTAGGTTCATATTGTGTATTTGTACATTAGATACCATGTTTTAGGTCATGTATATTATATATCATTGCATATTTCTTATGGCGTGGTGCTGAGGAGTACTCGGTAAGTTCTCTTCCTTCATTCTATATTGCTGGCTTTTGTGCATCATTCTTCAATGATTCAAGTTTTGATGCGTATATGCTATATCTATGTTTGTTTTGCATGGTTTTGAGATATTGCTTGAATTTGGAGTGTTTTCATCGCCATATTTGCTAAGTCCATTTTTGGAAACAAATTTTTTGGTTTTAGCCGCTTTCCATTATGGAAAGTTTCCTAAATCCATTTTTGGAAAGAAAGTCTATTATTTTTGGAAACATTCCATTTTTCCTAAATCTATTTTTGAAACCAAATCTTGGCAAATACGGAATGTTTATGTTTCCAATTAAAGTGATGTTTCCCTTTATTCAATCACATAGATGGTAGTTTAGTTTAAAGGATTTACAGTTAATTGAGTTCATGAAAGTCAAATAATTTCATAAATCTCACAAAATAAAGACTAGTAGAGGCCAATCAATTGATTGGGTGAAAGTGCTCACATCAGTGACCTTCATCTTTCGTACCTAAACTCTTGAACCAAGTCCTTGATTGTGACGGATTAGTATCCAAATGTTTCGGAGTCAAATAGTTTCTTAGTTTCCCAGCAAAGAATAAGTGACGATTCTTTCAATTTATTAAAAAAGGGTCAAAAATCCGACGTGTAGGTGTGCGGAAAGGCGTGGTATATACAGGTAGAAAAACAAATGTGGTTATTGTTTAGCAAAGATTAAAAAGGTCATTTTTAAAATTAAAAAAAAAAAAAAAATTGTCTTAGGTGAAATTTTTAAAATTTTGTTGTAGATATTTTTGTTTTTAAGATCCTTCTAGTTTTAAAGGATCTAAATAAGCATTTTTGAAATAATCTAAAAAATGTTTATTAAAAACAAACTTTTTTTTGTTTTTGGTGATTTCTATTTCTTCAATTTTATTTTTGTCTTTAAATTTGTAAAGAAATTACAAAAAAAAAAAAAAAATCCAAGATTTGACCATTGTAATAAATTCAATCCAGAATTTCTAATTGTTTCAATTTAAACCTGACTTTTAAAATGGTAACAATCCCAAAAATTCATCTACTATTATTAACTAAACTAACTAAACAAAAGATAAATTAGTCTTTTATCTTCATTAACAACCTTCACCACCACGACATCCTACCACAACCTATCCACCTCTTACTACCAGTATCATTGACATCATTTTCCTTTTTCCAACCACGGTACCCCCTTTCCTAAACCATTATCACTTGCCCTAGCCTATACTCCATCACATCCCTACCTTACGCTACTTATTAATCATCCTATTTCCTTCACAAACAATCTGCAAAACCAAATCCAAAGCAAGTAACACACAAAAGCATTTGTACGAGGTTGTAGAGGAAGGGAAATGGAAGAGGGAAGAAGACGACCAAAGGAGAAGGGAGGCACAAAGAATGAGATATGACAATGGTGAGGAGTGGAGCCAAATTTGAGAGGGTGAGGCATTGGCAGTGAAGGCTAGAGCTATTTCTTAAAGAGGGTAGTACCGGTAGTGAAAGGTAGAGCCAAATCTGAGAGGAGGCATTACGAGTGAGAGAAGGCACTTGTCACCCTCCAAATTTACAGGATCTGAACTTGTCAAGATTTCAAAATGCGGTGTTACGTAATGGTTGCGACCGTAGGCACTGTGCATTACTCCCGCTTTTGTAGTGTGATTAAGATTCACAGGTGTGTTGGCCATAGCAGCTGTTGTAACGGCTATTGTAGCGGCTGTAACTGTGCCGTAACGGCTGTAACGACCTGTTACGTAACAATTCAGAACTGTTTCTTGCGAAAAAAGCCAAAAAAAAATACTGAAAATAGGGGAAATAGGTCTAGGTTGAATGCCTCAAGTGCGCATCTTGCGTACTGAACATTTTTTTCCAAGGAGACGACACCTAACTGGATTACCAAAAAAATAAAAGGAAAAATAGGAAACAAAGGAAATTTGGCTTAAATGCTTCAAATCAAATATACATACTGAGAAATACAATTCTTTTGCTCATACAATTGAAGTATAATTCGAAATTCAAAAAAATCTAGGCTGCGATCTTCGATGTTTAGGGTTTTGCAGGTATCTTTCTTCCTCTCTCTTTCATGTGCTCTGTATCTCTATTGGTTGTCTCTATCTCTCTCTATATATCTTTGGGTATAGAGGAGTGAGGCTCTTTGACTTCTTCAGAATGACTAGTCTTTATTATAGCATAATGGCATTTATATATTTATTATTTAAAGCTCTCTCCGTTACTATTTCCAACTTTCACCAGAACCTTCATAATTTAATAAAAGAGAATGACCTTTAATATTATCTTTATTTAAAATCAATAGCTATCTTTATTATATTATGTATAGGTTAATTTAATAAAAGAGAATGGCCTTTAATATTGTCTTTATTTAAAATCAATAGCTATCTTTATTATATTATGTATAGGTCTGTGTGTTTAAAATTTCAATGACATTTTTTAAGATCATTTTTTTACAGGTTATTATTTTAAAAACTATTTATGTTATAATTAATTAATTTTATATTTTATAAAAGTAAAAAAAATCAAAACTCAAAAAGCTTATTATTTTAAAAACTATTTGTGTCAATTTTTGTTGATTAGTTTATGTTATTTTTATTTACAAGTTATTTAAAAAGAGAATGAATATTAAAGTGATCCAAACTCAAAAAAAAATTTCTTTATAATTTATTTTTTAATTTTTATATGATTACATTAGCATGTATAATTTATTTTTTAAAACTATTCAAGTTAAAATTTGCATATGCTTCCACAAGTATAATAATTAAAAATAATAATTTTATACATCTAAGTACAATTTTTTTTTTGGCCACTGGCGTAATATGGATTTACAATATATAAAGTTATTAATAATTAAAATAAAATGTAAAAAACTCAGTTTATAGTGATTTAAAAATATGAAATATATTAATTGAATCATACTTAAAAAATTACAATAATTGATCAATATTTATTTTAAAACCCAATAAATATGATTATGGAAAAAAAATGTGTGTACCGGTAAGTTTTTTTCAAATTGTGCGAAAAATAAAAAAAAATTCACGATTCCGGTTACCGCAACCGTTAAGTTGCGGCCTTTATACCTCGCAACTGCAACCATAACCGCATCACTGCCACCATTATAGCAACCGCAACCGCAACCGTAACCGCTTTTCAAAACCTTGGAACTCGTGAATTTGAAATAGAATACAATGGATAATTAAGGGAATAATTGAATCATGAGTGAATAAAAAAACGATTGGGATTGAAGAGAGAAACATCATATCATGATAAAATGAAAACCCATCACCCGTACTACGTTTCATTACGTACATTACATGGTCTAACCACTTAACATGCATCTTGTGAGTATTGATTTCCGACCACACAACCAAACATGGAACTTAACTGGATAGCACCGACAGAATAGATTGAACCAATAACCTACCAACAAGACAATGTGAATACCGCGATGGTTCGTCCACCTAGGGGCACTCCGACGATCAAGTTAGTAAATCTTATCTCTCACAGATATTAAAAAGTATTTCAACTCACAAGCAAAGCATACCTTAAACTCACAAGTAAAGCATACCTTAGACTCATGAGGGTGTCTCACTTTTATAACCAGCGGTGACCTAGTCCTTGGAAGTCTCACTTCATAGGACTCAAGCTCAATGCTTATCTCAGACTCTTGGCTAGATAGGGATAAACTCCTCAAGAGCCTTATCCATATCCAGACCGGGAGCCTTTTCTGATCCAGGACTATTGTTCTTTATCCGAAAATCTCAGGATTCTGGCATTACAGCAGAACATCTCGGCAATGCTATGATTACCTCAGTAAAACATGACTAGTTCCACGTGGCACCTTGGTTGGCATCTTGGCGCCACCTTAGCCACGTGGTGTCTTTCATAAAATACTTCCCCATAACTGCCCCCTAAATTCTATTACCTCGGCAATCTGAGGTGATGGAACCTACACATGTATTTCTCTGACGGAGATCGTTACTCGTTGGCGCCAAGTAACAAGGACTCAAATGTCCATTTCATCAAGAATCAAGAACTGAGTTCTTTCAGCATCCCAACCGAGATCATCATCTCAGCCGAGATCACTCTTCTCAACCGAGATCGCTTAGCTAGCCGAGGTCATTACCCCACTAGTTCAAGAATTTCAAGAGTTTTAACTGTGCATGAGCGGTCACGCACTGTCATTTCAACCGTTTCTTCCACGTGTCCCATTCTTATTGGCTCATACCAAGCACGAGCTATCAAGTCACATCGAAGTTATATGTGCTGCCTGATAGGCACGTTGTGCAAGGCAACTTCACAATGTTTTGCCGCCTTTTTAATTTTTGACAAAACTTTCCCTCCATCTCTCTCTCTCTTCGTCTTTTCACTTTCACAACTTCAAACTCTCTCTCATCTCAGATTTTCTCTCTCTAGAACTCCCAAACTGCCATTGCCGTTCTTTCAAGCTATCTGCAGTGGTCTGTTCATCACCTTTGGCGAGCTTTCCATCATTTGATTTCGGTCATCTACATCGTCTAACTCCGGCTAACTTCATACTGGCATTCGTTTCTTCAGTTCTACACTGTAAGTCCTCGATTTCCTCTTTTTCATTTTCAATTTCTTACTATTCTTGAATGCACTTTTCTCCTGTATTGTTACACATTGCACACTGCATCTGCATTCAAGTTTTTGTCATGTTATATGTGTATGCATCGATTCATTCAATGTTCCT